TTGTTGTAATTTCAGCGGTTTGCAAGAGACGTTTTGTGACAGCCGACGCCTTCGTTCGAGTTTGAACGCGCAAGACGGCGACCGTAATCTCCCGTACATCTGCTATTTGTGCATCTACTCAAAAATCGCTACATCATCAAGAAATTCAGAAGCAGATGACCGGCCTCAAAGAAGAGTTCTACGTTTAGAACGGGTTGAATCGTTACAGTCATACTAAAATGTTTTCCTCACTGATATCACGTATTCAACAGGTGTCTCAATTGGTTACCATGGAAACATCTCCGAAAAATTGCCTTTTTTCATTTATTGTTGTATCTCCTCGTTTCCGCAAACTTAATTAAGTAGAAATTGATATGAATCATTGTTTTCGAGTTGCTCTGCAATCCTACAGTACCCCACCAGACATCGCGCTACGCGCTACGACCTTCTCGGGTTGGCCAAAACTCTGAAATAGTGCTTTCGGCGAAAAGATCTGTAGAAGTGCCAGAACGGACATATTCGTGCGATTACTGTAAGAGTTCAATGTAAAAGGGTTATTCTAAAAATAACTGCTGAATATTGCATATCATGTTTTGATTCGTGGAGATTTTTAACAGCTCTTTGAAGCTTTATTTTGATAAATTTTGATCGAATTTTGCATAAAAATAAAGAAATTCCAAAATGCAACGAAATGGTGCGACCTGTATGTAAAAAAGATAGCCCTCTAACAGGAAATGATCCTGCCATGATTTGAACTTACGGTGTCATCCTAGCCTATACACATGGATCAATAATAACAAAGGACTAATTTGAATCAGCTTACAATTGTTGTAGTGCTTAATTACAATTAAGGAAATTACTCATAAGTATATATTGGCTCAACGAGATTATATCATATCGTATGCCCATTGTAGGTCTATTAAATTCGCTGTCGTTGATTTTTTGTTATTACGATGATGGTGATGGATATGAGGGGTATGCTGGAACTAAATCATAACAGAGCAGGAAAAACTAAATAATTTTTGAACACCTACATTCCGAGACGCGGCTCGTTCTATTTTGAGAACCATAGCATCGTTACGAATGAGATCTCTCCAAGGAATACGATTGAATGGGACGATTAGTGATGGCATAGCGCCAGGTGAGAAAGCGACCTTCGTGCCAAGAAATGAGACGGTCGTCTGGAACATAAAGAATTATTAGAGTTTTCTAGTGCATTGACATCTATGGGTTATAACCTATAAATGACGTACATGTGAAATAAATATCGTGTAATGAAATTGTACAAGAAAAGTAGGCAACACTTCTAGATTAGTACAACAAGGAACCTCTATGTACCACTACAGCTGGGTAGAAATGCGAACTATGCATTTAAATATAATTATGACTTTGAGGGATGGTGGAATGCTCAGCTGATTCCCAATTGCTCAACACTGAGCCTTCCCTTTTTTTACTGTGCCTTGAAAATTTCTATTCCGGGGGAGGGTCTTACATTTCCCCCTAGGATGAATCTGTGACCCCTAAAGGCGACAAAAAGGGCGAAAACGGTCCAGTTAAGGTGTAATAAGGGCCCCAAAACCGGGTTAGCCGACACACACACCCATAGGTGGACGAGTTCCCGCGCCGTTATAGAGGCTGTGAAGGTTGCACCATTCGCACCGGGACGCACACTTTGCAAGCATGCAGCTTACTATAGCTAACTGTACCCGACAGCATAAACATTTAGACAGGCCGTCGAAGTACCCCTCCCATGAAGCTTTTGCCGTCACATTCTCGTCCAACCACCAATTTTACTACTTTTTTGAAACCATGTGTTTTCTGATTACGCCAACTTTCGCGTTTCCTTCTCCAATTTTCACTATCTTCCCCTAATACTTCTATTAATTAACAGAATTATCGTGAACTGTGACTTCTAACATATTGGCAAACTGCTTGTTGAAGATGTCAAGATTGGAAAATCAAAAGCGGTGACAATCCGTTAATAATAATGAAGTGCTCGGAGTACGATGGGCTAACCTGCTCTGTTGTTTGAACTCGTTTCAACTTCAGATCTGTGGTGGGAGCATCCAGAATCCAAGCATAAATAATCGTTTCGTCTGCCCATTGCGGATTATACAGTCGATGAGGGTCCAACCGCGTTTTTGTTAATCTCGACGTGTACCTGAGAAGTAGTAGGATTATAAAAAATATTGTCATTTTTACGGCTTTATTATTCAAGCTATGCAGGCACACAGCTGCCTTTTTAGAAGCCTGTAGTATAGTAGCAAGCTTCTTGATTTCTCATTGAGGATTCAGATGGCAGGAACTGTTGGTGTTGTTTGGATTCATTGATGAATTGTGCTATATTAGCGATGAATCAATTAAAAAAGTGGGTGAATTTGTAAAATGTGCCTACTCTGACGGTATGCCTACAGGCCCCAACGTATGATGTAGTCCATGTACATGATTATGGGGGAGGTTCAGATATTTAGGTTCTGATGTTTGATAGACAGGGAAGTGAGGGAACGAAAAGGAAAGAGAGACACCAGTAATCTCTATCTCCTTGACTAAGAATGCCGGATGGAATGACTGCCTAACATTCATCTGCTGAACGTAGGTCCAACATTTGTTAGATGACTACAGGCTCGCTGTGTACCTTCACAGCAACTTGATGAGTTGGGCTACTCACTCATTTCACTTACCAGACGTTTCCAGTGTCATTTTGATAAATCCACGGTTTGGTACCATAAACAGCTTCCGAATTAGCGCTAATAAATCTGAAATGCCAAGTAGATTCAATTCTGTAAATTGCTTCTGAACGTGTGGTTTGCTATCATTCGCAACTGGTTTACTCGAGCTTTTCCATCCTATATAAACGAACTGAGGCGGATGGTTGTAAGCGCGAGACTGTTACTGTTTCTGCCGTTCTTTGGTATAGCTGTATAGACCGACCGAAGTGCACCCCCAACTCATCAAAGAATTGCTCTCATAAATACTTGTAGGGACTGGGATTTCTCACATCAATTCATCAGGATTAAACTGCATACATTTCTATAGAGAGCCTACTAGATGAACCGAAGCTGATCAGGTTTAGTTTGGGTCGGTGCTTACCATTTAAACGCATCACTTGGTCATCCTGCACGGAACTGGACCACCTTCCACTCCTGGAAAGCCACATCATCACGCATTTGGAGGGACATTCGGAGAGGACAATAATGTCAAAATCGTCTCACTACTAGAGAAGAAAATCGCAAAGCAGTTTCCAGATATAAGGAAGCCAGATCATTTAAAGGGACAGTTCACGATAATTGTGGAGTATCTAGTTCAAGATGAATAATAGAAGAAAGTCTGGAATAGTGTGGCGAAGAAAACGCAAGTACCGACACATTTAGGCAAACATAAGGCTTCAAAAATGTGGTCAAAGCAGGGGCTGGACGTGAATGTGACGATTACATTGCTTGGAATGGGTATTTGAACGGACTGCCCAAAGGCGTGCGCTATTGCGTGCAGTTGCCTACAGTAGGCTGCCTGCGTGTGGCGAGTGCGTCCTGGTGCGAATGATGAAACCTCTACAACACCGTGAAAACTCGTCCGTCTTTGGGTGGGTATGTCAGTTGAGCCGGGCTCGTGGCTTTTACTTTGCATTATTTAGCCCTTTTTTCGAACAGGCAGTGTCCCGTGTGCTATCCAAGGGGGACACAGGTCTATTTCAGGGAAAAACTCAGAGACCTTTTTCATCGTGAACTGTGCTTTGAGTCGTAGACTAGTCTTAGTGCTTATTCAGCCGCAGCAAGGCTGTAAATCACTGGATTCGATATAAACATGTAGTTGGCGAAGTGGGAGGTAGATAATAGGTACTCTATATCGTGGTTGAGTTTTGGCACCCTGTGAGGCTTATCAGCAAGAATCAAAATTTTTTTAGATTCAAGAGAAGATAGCAACCTTCCAAGCTCCCTAAGACGATCTTCGAATATTGGCGGGATTTTTCCATGCATATCTGGTCCGACGTTCAGTAGGAAGTTCCCACCACAAGAGATTGTACGTGCAAGCTGCACTATTAGTTCATACACGGTATTGACATCGGCGCTCTGGAAGTGTAATAGACTGTCTCGTTTGGAAGTAGTTGAGTGGCTGTTTGCCCTTTGTACAGTAACAGCCTTTTCCATTTCAAAAAATCTTGGATCTGAGGTGAAAGAATACCTTCATCGTTCTTCGATGCCCCCATGAGCCTTTGTCAAGCGTCATGCAGTTCTCCCATTTCCGGTCTAGTAGCTTACCTGAACGAATTAAAACGAAGGTTCGTTTTGGTGGAGATTTTTCGCTAAAGAAGCAATGATCAAGAAAAAGTAAGCCGTCACAACCGATAGAAGAAAATACTAGTTTACATTCACTGACCTGGATCGTAGTGATCAGAATAGGTGAGGAATCCACCATGTTTCCCAATAGAATCACCACCCCATCGGTCATTAACCACAACGGTATCCTTGACCGGGCTAAAAAATGTAACTTGAAGCATTCAGCTCTTCCTGGACTGACTGAACAGAAAAAAGTGACTGAACTCTTCTTGAACTGACGTAACTTGCGCTTGCCCTCAAGTTCAAATTCATTTTCGAAATATTATTTATAGGTACTTAAGCAAAAACTAATGAGGCAGATAGCACATGATAAATGGGGTGAAAGACACAGTTCACGATAATCCTGAGGTATACAGTTTAAGTGAAACAATGGAAGTCATGGAGAAGATGAACAGTGCAAGGGTGGTGAGGGAAGCGCGGAACTTGTTGAATTTTAAAAACAGGGCACTCAAAAATAGTAGCAAGAAAGGGGTTCTACGAGGTCGCCATTTGCAACCGTCTCGGTGTCTCCCACATAAGCGTGCTATCCGTCGCTTCCTAACGCTTCATGTGAACAGTTTAGTCTAACAAGGGAAGGATCCTAAGTCGAAGTGGCCGGTTGAAATGGGACCTATACTGCTAGACGTATTTTTTGATGCTGATTTCAAATCTGCATTCAAAATCTGCCAAACGA